TTAATTGTTTCCTTTGCTATGCAGAAGCTTTTTTTTTTGTTTGTTTTTTTGAGGCAGTGTCTCACTGTGTAGTTGAGACTGACCTGGAACTCACTATGTATCCCTTGCTGGACTCGAACCCTCAGCGATCCTCCTGCCTCATCCTCCAGGAGTGCTAGGATTACAGCCATGCGCCACCACGCCCAGCTTGTGCAGAAGCTTTTTAATTTAATAGATCCCATTTGTTGATTCTTGGTATTTATTCTCATGCAATTGGAATTCTGTTCAGCAAGTCCTGCCTCCATCTATTTTCAAGAGTTTTACCTATTTTATCTCTCAGTAGATTACATGCTTCTCTTTTATTTAGTTCATGTTGAGAGATATGGATCTAGATTAAACCTTTTGTGTATAGCCAGTTGTTCCAGCACCATTTGTTAAAGAGGCTATCTTTCTTCCAACATAAGTTTTTGGCCCCTTTGTCAAAGATCAGGTAGCCGAATGTGCCTGGAGTTGTTTCTGCATCCTTTATTCTGTTTTATTAATCAATATGTGTAATTTTTAAAAAATAATACCATGCTATTTTATCACTGTGGCTTTGTAATATGACTTGAAGTTTGAGATTGTGATACCTCGTGCTTTGCCCTTCTCACTAGGGTTTTTTTTGCTATTCTGGGTCTTTTCTGATTCAATATAAATCTTAGGATTGTTTTATTTAGTTCTCTGAGTAATGCTGTTGCTATTTTGATTGAGGTTGCATTAAATTCATTTATCAGCTTTGGTAATATGGGCATTTTGGAAATACTGATTCTGTGTATCCAGAACAAGAGATATCTTTCCATTTTCTAATGTACTCTTTGCTCTCCTTTTTCAGAGTATTGTGGTTTTTATTATACAGGTCTTTTACTTCCTTGGTTAGCTTAATTCCTAAGTAATTTTTCTTGATGCTGTTATGACTATTGATTTCATAATTTCTTCTTGGTGGGTTATTACTAGTGTACAGTAATGCTATTGATTTTTGTGTGTTGGCTTTGTGTCCTGCTATGCTACTGAGATTGATTGTTAATTGTAAGAGTCTTTTCATAGAATTTTTGGTGTCTTCTTTGTAACAGATCGTGTCATATAGAAGTAATGATAATTTGACCTATTATTTTCCTATATATATCCCTTTTATTTCTTTCCTTGCCTGATTGCTCTGAGTAATGTATTTCTTGTAGAATAACACTATGAGTGAGGAATTCTCTCTGTTTCTATAATCTGGGAACCTTTTATTTTCTCCTACATTTATGAGTGTTGGTGTTGCTGGATATAGAATCCTTCACTGACCTTTTCTTTGTTGTTTCAGTGATTTGGCTTCTAGTTTCTGGTGAAAAGTGAACTGCTAGTCTCATTATGTAGTGATGTGCTTTTTTTTTTTTTTTTTTTTTTTTTTGCTAATGCAAGACTCCATCTTTTGCTTTTGACAGTTTGACTTTTTTCTAGGTGTGGATCTCTTTGTGGTTATCCTAGTCAGAGACCATTGATCTTTTTGGATGTGCACATTGTCCTTTTTTATCAAATTGGGGAAGTTTCTGACTATTCTCCCCAATTTTTCTACTCTATTTTCTACTGAGAATCTTTCATTTTCTGTATTTTGGTATCCTTGATGGTATCTCACAGTTGTCTGAGGATCTATTCATTTTTCATTACTTTTTTCTTTTCATCCTTCAAACTGCATAATCTCAATTGTTGTTTCATTCATTTGCCAATTCATACCTACTTGTTGAGCCTTGCTAGTGAATTTTTTATTTTATTTTTCACCTCTTGGATTTGTTTTGTGTTTTATAATTTCTCTGTTGATGTTCTGTATTTGATAATATATTCTTCTTATACTTTAATTCTTAAGACATGATTCTCTCATTTTAGTTCTTTGAACATCTATATAATAGTTCATTTAAAGTCTGTCAATAAGTCCAATGTCTGGGCTTCCTCAGGGACAGTTTCTATTGAGTAATTTTTTCCTATATATAGGGCAAACTTTTCTGTCTTTTTTTTGCATATCTCATAATTTTTGTTGAAAATTAAATATTTTAAAATAATATAATGGCAATTCTGGAAATCAGAATACTTCATTATCTTTCAGTGTTGTTGTCATTACTGGTAATGCTGGCTTAGTGACTTACCTAGGCTAATTTCATAAAGTCTCCATTCTTTGTTGTATGTGCTACTGAAGGCTGGTCCATGAGCTTAGTGGTAAGGTAATGATTATATGCCTGGAACCAGTGCATCTCCCAGCCTTTGCCAAGAGATTCTTTGTGTGTGTTGATCATAATTTAAACATTCTTGAAGTGGCAGTTGGTAAGTCTGCTCTGTGTACAGCCTCAAAGTTAGCCAGAGATTAAAGATGAGGGCCTTCACAGGTCTTCCCTGAGCTTACATACAGCTCTGCATGTTTCATGTGTCTTTCTAGATACCCAGGAATATAACAGTGTTTTTCAAAGTCCCCTAATGAACATCTTGTTTTTCAATTCTTTTTCTTTTAAACTTTTCCTTCAGCTTTTTCTTAGTCCCAACTGATAATGCTACCTCCTGTAGCTACAAAGTTAAATAATTACTAATGTTTTGTTTTGTTCCCAGCTCATGCCCTAGAATACGGTTGTTCACAAAGAGCAGGCTCTAATACAAGTCAAATTGAGATAAGCCCAGAAATTGCTTTTCAGAAAGGCTGGTAAAATAGTGATAATTCTCTGGAAATGGGGCTTTTGAAGAGCTCCAAAGCAACTGTGCCCCCTCCTGCGACTGCTAAACTGCTGGTTTTAATACTTACTATAGCTGTGAAGTTGTTAGTTTTCAAGGCTTCTGTGAAAATGGTTCGAAAGCAATAATATTAGAACAAGTTAAAATGACACCAAATTTGGCCTTCTTCAGATTCAGCCATTTTTCTTGAATAAACATTCTTTGGAGTGTGGCAAGTCTCTAATTAATTTTCAGAGCTTTTTTTTTTAATCTTGTGTTTATTGGTACTTTTTAGATATACAGTACAGTTACATTCATCATTGGGATCTTGTACCCTTACATGATATATCTTGGTTCTTGTTTTTCTCCCATACTCCTGCCTTCCCTTCACCTCCTCCACCTCCCCTATTTACAAACACTTTGTTTCCATTTTTTCCTTTTCTCATATTTTTTCTTGTCCCTTATTTCAAGTTTTGAAACTTGATCAATACAATCTTTGCTAGTGTTTCTAATGTTAAAGAGTGAGTTGTTGGAGGTCTTTCATGAGTCATCCTGGAACTTCCTTTCTATGATGACTTACAAAGTACTGTGTAAATTATCTGGCTTTTCCTAGTTAACCCTGTAGGAATACTTTTCTTTCCTTAGTTTATTACAGTACCCAGAAACCTAAGTCAAGAATTAATTTCGTGTTTGTTCAGCCCCAGGTAGTAGACAATATGCCAGCTTTGCAAAGCTTTTCAAAAAGCATGAATATATTATAAATAAAAAAATAAGTATAGACTAGATTCAGGTAATTATATTATAAATAAAAAAATAAGTATAGACTAGATTCTGAGGTAAGCAAATCTCTACATGGAAAAAGATATTTGGAGCTGAGCATAGTTACACATACTATAAGTAATCCCAATACTTTGGTATGCTGAAGCAGGAAGATTGCAAGTTGGAACCCAGCCCGGACAACTTAGCCACTTAGTGAGAGACCCTGTCTCAAAATAAAAACGGGTGGAAATGTAACTCAGTGCAATGTCCCTGGGTTCGATCCTCAGCACTGAAATACATATTTTTTCAGTCAAATATATATAAAACTAGAAGCTTCTGTATCATTAAATGAATATGAAAAAGCCAATTATTTTTTTCTTTAGAAATTATTTTTTACAGTGCTAGTAGTCATAGAGATCAGACCCAAGACCTCATCTGTGCTAGGCAAGTGCCCTACTACTAACTAAACTGCATCCCCAGCACTCTTTCCTTAGAATTTAAATTTTTTAATTAATTGTAGAAATCACATTACTTATCACACACTGAAATATATTTTGCCTATTGCTTTTGTAGTCTATGATTAAAAAAACTCAAGTGCAGTCGGGAAGTAGATTGCTAAAAGTTTCAAGAGGTATGCCTAGCCCCCAGACTAAAGTTTGATTCAGATAAATTTTAACTTTGGTACTTCTCAATGCAATATTTCTTCTCTTTTAAGTTCTATCATCAGTCTTTTTAGATTTCTATTATACTTTATTTGTCTTTTTTTAGTTGGAGGTTTTAATTAAGATATTAGTTGATACTTACAGTTTATAGTTTGAATACTCCCAACCTGAAATCCAAAATGTTCCAAAGTCTAAAACTTTTTGAGCACCATGTCAATGCTTAAAGAGTTTCAGGTTTCAGAGCATTCTGCATTTCAGATTTCTGGAAAATGAGGATGTTCAACCAATAAAGTCTATGCAAATATTCCCAAATCCAAAAAACTTTAAAATCTGAAATACTTCTAGTCCCAAGCATTTCAGATAAGGTATACTCAACCAGTAAGGGATATGGTTGGTCTCTGTGCTTTCAGAATTGCTTGACGGAATGATTCTTTAAGTAGAAGTGCATTTGGTTGAATGATAGATGTGCAATAGAGGTGTTGTAAGGGTTACCCTGGGTCAGGATTGTCTATAAAATAGAATATCCACTGTAATATATCTTCTTCTCTTAAATTTTAACTCCTCTTGCTCATGGGAGCAATTTTCCCAGGCCCACTTTTAAGATACAGAATGGGTTGCCTTAGTGTCTTCTGAAGTATTTTGAGAGATCTCATGACCTCGGAATTAATGAAATTTAGATATATTTCTCTTGGAAATACTTTGTAACTCCCAAATGTTATTTCAGTAGGAACATTTGATAGGATTCAGTAAACGCATTACTCTTCAGCAAATAATTGACATTGTTGAAATGACAGTGTGCAAATGATTTAGAAAGAGAACTATTTTGTGCAAATTATATGAAAATGCTTGGGTAATTACTTGTAACAGATACCTTTTTTATAAAAACAGTGAAAGAAGAAGAAATACCAGAAAATGAAAGCATCAAACGATCTCCTGAAGAACCTATACCTTGTGCCATCCCTGTCTCTCCTAAACAGCCCAAAACAATGATGCATGTTTGGAAAGGTAAATAGCTTTACATGACCCAAGACTGGGAAGAAAAGTTCCTCCACTACCAAAATGATAATATGCTCTTAGGATATGGCATTGGAGGTTAGGGAAATATATTTGCCCAGGTAAATTTGGCAGTTAGGCAACTACTTTGGCAGCTTGGACGTATAGCATTCCCTTCAAAAGCACACAAATATCCTTTTCCCCTCGATTAAAAAGTATTGTAATTATCTTTTTTATTCAGTTTGGTATTGCTAAAAACTGATAGAACAGAAAAATTTAGTATCCTTCTCCAGTAAAAGTGTTTACTGTTCAAGTAGTAAGCAAGTGTTAGAAACCAACTGTGTGATCATATATACCAAGTAGTTGTGAAGAACTATGTTCCTAAGAACAAATGCTTTTGTGAGATGTCGATAGACTTGGTGAAAAGACTAACAAGGTACTAAATTGCCATGAAAATATAGATGATGTCACAGAATTAATTTGGATTTGAACAGTGTCCATTACTATAAATGATGAGTAGGAAATGGCCATATATTTTAGGTTAGAAATTTATGGTTCACTGTAACATAAATTAAGTGAAGTATTGTTGGAAATGGGATTGTTGACCATTTAATAGTATTTGTGTTGTATCTTGAAGGTAATCCCCTTTGTGTTTTCCCCTATAGAAGAAGAACCATTGTCTCCTGAAGAAAAAGACAAGTTCAAAGAAGAGGAGCTTGAAAAATTGAAGAATACAACATTAAGTTTAGGAGATCCTTTGGTTCCTGTCTATAGTAATTTTACACTTACTTCAGTCCATACAGATTTTTCTGAAAATGAGCCAGGCACCTCAAATTCAACATTAGTGGAGACCAAATCATCTACCATGAGCAGTTACTGTGAAGCTAAATTCCAAATGCAGAGGAAAGCTGAAGGTATTTTTAAAAACTAAGCCAACATGCCTATCTTTCCCCTTGACGTTTCCATACCCAGCAGCATTCTGTGAGAGTGTATCACATTGCAGAAAGTGCCAAAATTAGGGAGGCCATATTCTTTCCTTTTCATCACTGTCAGGACCAAATCATTATGGATGCTCTAGTACTTGTAGCATCACAGATTGTCTCTGGGGATCTTGATCACCAATCATGTCTCTGATAGAGACGTCTCAGATTCATGGTTCTCTAGCGGTTGTAATTTGTCATTTTCTTGGGTACTGTCTGGACTCACAAACTTCTTGTGACTCTGAGACCTAGAAAGCCACACTGCCTCTCCTTTCTCATATATTCTTGTCTCTGTTGAGGTCTTTTCCTGCCCGGATCTGGCCTGCAGCCATACCATTTCCTCCTCATATCCTCTGTCACTCCCTCAGAACCACCAGGAAGGTGTAGCTTATGTAAAGAGGGCATCATCTTGTTGCTGTTCAGAAAGAACCAGGACAGCCTTACATGTACAAAGATGGCTACTACCCTGTCACCCTTTAAGGGTTTAAGAGTGCAGGAGAATGAGTGGGTATATATGTTTTTTCCTTTTTCTCCAGTTTGTCATCGATAGGCCAGGTTGAGGAGTGAATGAAGTGGGATCCAAGACAAATTGTGTGCTGTACTCTGCACACATCAAGACATATTAATGTCACTTCCATTCTCCCACCTCCTATGGAGATGGTGTCTTCTTTCAAGAGTTGCATTGCTTTCAGAGTCTAAGGATAGATGTGTATTTCATAAAGGATAACATACCCTGAAATTTTAAGTATTTTTACAAAGTAGGAGCTTTTGAAGACAATGCCTCAGTGAAAGACTTTAAAAGTTTACTTCTTATACTGAATATCTCACTTTCAAATGTATGTCTATCAACTACCATGCCAAAGTTGCTTGTATTTGGACTTTGAAAGCCTACCATCTGGTATTCCTAGAAGTAGAAAGGCTAACAATAATCAGATTACTTTTTAGTAATTTACTTAATGATAATAGAAATCATTGTCTTCATTACGTGACATTATATGTTAGGCACATAATATTTTATATGGCCTCATACATTATATCAGTTTAGTAATTGTTGGGGATATAGGTGCTGATAAACATTTTCAGGAGAAAAAATTTCAGAAGTCATTTTGCTAAAATCCCTCAAAGTGGATGGGCCAGTCTTTCAACCCAGACACTCTGGTACAAGAGCCATATTCTTAACTGCTGTGGTGCCTACATCTCTTGAGAGCAGGTAAGCATTTCACTTCAGAACTGTCTCAAAGTATCATTACCATTATTTTCTTTAAGTACTGCAACTATTACTTAAAGCGGAGTTTACTCCTGACAGCCACTAGTGTTCACACAACCTCCTATCCTATTCTGCCCCATTATTTGAATGAAAAAAAAATTGCCATCCTTCTTTACACATAATAGATTCATATAAGTAACACGGGGAAATCAAATCACATTTATTGTATTTATTTCAGAAATATTCATTTATATTCCAGTATACATAAGACAGAACCATTCAGAAGGAAAGCATGACTGGTCTTGGATGATTTTTCACATTATTAGTTTGTTTCATATAACTGTTTGAATAATATAATGTTTGCAATCTTTGATAATTGTTCTGAAAATATGGGCCCAATTAATTACTTTTTGATAATAGACTGAAGACAGAAAATCTTATAGTTATTTTTAATATAAAATTAGCTTTATACCAGAAATCATATCTTTATATATAGTTTATCTATGATAATCTGTAAAACTAGCTACATTTTATTCAAGACATAAATATCCCAGATTATGGGCAGATGTAGTGGCGCACACCTGTAATCCCAGCACATGGGAGACTGAGGCCAGAGGATCATCTTGAGTTCAAGGCCAACCTGGACTCTATAGTGAGTGAGTTCAAGCCTGAACTACATTGAGAAACCTTGTCTCAAACAAAAATTCCCTGATTCTGATGACAGAAACTCCCCAATTGTAAATTAATTTAGAGGTATGATTAGCCTTGCTAATATTTTTTAATGTTAAATTGTGTCAGCTGGGGATTTGGCTCAATGGTTCCATTGCCTGTCTTACAAGCACAAGGGCCTGAGTGTGATCCCTGGTACCAAAAATAAAAAGCAAAACCCCCCCAAAAATTAAATTGTGTCATTGCTAAGGAGAGCCCCTTTTCTCTCTGAATTGTCAATGCCTTAAGCAGGCATAGTGAACATCGTCATTTTTACCTGGATTGATATATAGCCCAACAAAATTTTTTTCTGACAAGTAGAGGGGAAGATGACTTTTAGTGTAGAGATTTTGGATGTTGTGATGTTGGAAAGAAAAGAAAATTCAAAGCTACATTACAAAAAATTAACTATTATAATTTCCTTTTATCTTACCTTTTCCTTGGATAAATATTCAAGATGCTCGTAATGATCATGTCCCAGATGATAGGAAAGAAAGGATATGCCTTTGACTAATTCACATACAAAAAAGATTAAATCTGTGTTGATAATCCCTCAATTCAAGAAACAACTCTTCCTAGCAAATTATGTAACTCCCTTCACTTACTCTCACATGCTAACTTATGGGATTCTAGCTCTGTCTTTGAATAGATGAATATCTGTCAGGACACAAAGGAGTTTCCACAAAACTTAGTGAACAACCTAAAGCCTATTGAAGTATACCTAAATTGTTTCACGTCTCATTTATTTATTTATTATTATTTATTGGTGGTACTAGGGATTGAACTAAGGGAATGCTGAACTACATCTCCAGCCCTTATTATTTTAAGACAAGGTCCAGCTAAGTTTCTAGGCTGGCCTCAAACTTGGAATCCTCCTGCCTCAGCCTCCCAGGTAGCTCAGATTATAGCCTCCTTGCCCAGGTCTGAGGTATTTCTTCATTAAATATAAAAACTTTCAACTAAAAAAACAGTCTGATGCTATGTAGTTAAACATGAAAGAGAAATTAAATAAAATGTTAATTTACTCTGATTTAGCTCAGCAGAAAATAACCTTGTTTTCTTCAAAATGCAGATTATCATTTAAGCCACAAGGATCTAAAGAGTATACGTGCTACTATAAAAATATCCATATTGACTACATGGGAAAGATTTGGTAAACCAACAAATTTGAATCTTCAAGATAATAAGATTATTGAAATTTATTGATTTAAACTCAGCAAATTTAGGATGAAGGGTATAGCTCAGTAGTAGAGCTTGCCTCGCTTGCACAAGGCCCTGGGTTCCATCCCCAGCACTGCAAAAGCAAACAAACTTAAGCAATCATAAAACTGTAAATGTGGGCAGTTCCCATTGAATTTAGCTAGTAAAATAAACCTGATTTAGACAGAGAAGGGAGAGCAGTTAACAAAATGAGGGAAATTCATTGAAACAAAGTGAAAGAGTAATGAGTTAGGTTAGGCCTTAGATTGCCTTTTGGTTTTTTGTGATCTCCGAATTTTTAAGGGAACTTCTGAAGCTGCTTCTGCTATTTGGGGGAGGTGAGATGAAATGCTCTTGTGAAACTATCCTCAAATCATCTCTATATAGATTGTCATTAGATTGCACAGTTGAAATCTTGAGTCCTTGCTTGGGTACTTAAGAAAAGGTTCTGGTAATGAGGCCATTACTCTTACCTAACATCTCTTCTTTCAGGATAATGATCAGGTCAAGTGTGATTTGTTCTTTTCCCTCCCATTGAAGCTCCAGGTTACATAGCTGTACGTGACTCCATTGTCCTGAAACAAGGCTTCTCTAAGGACCCTTCAACCTGGTCTGTGGATGAAGTGATACAGTTTGTGAAATATACAGATCCTCAGATAGCAGGCCCCCTCGCTGACCTCTTCAGACAACATGTAATGTATTTTTTGATCCAGTTTTCTCTGCCACAGTGCCTTTGAATGACCTCTTTGCTGGCCTTTCCATTGGATACTGAGTGTGTGAATGATGGGGGAACCCTACCAACTGATTTTTCCATGTGTGAAAAGGTTATTTTGCCCAACATTAGATCTTTAAATGGAAGTTTAATGGTGTGTTCTTTAAAAAGGGCATTGGGGTGTGTCCAATAACTAAACAATGTCAAATTTTTAAGGTGTGATGATTCAACATCACTACCCTCAGGTGGACCACCCTTTTTGTAATGACAGATACAAGAATCCTCCCTCTCCCCAGACTGGTCCCTGCTTGGCCTAGGACCATGAGTAGGAGAGGGTGACCACAAAGTAATAGGGTGGCCTTCTTGTTATAACTGATAAATCCAGCAATTGTATAAGATTAAGTGCATGTTTGTTTTAAACAGAAATTATGGAATACCAAACAATGCTTGCATAACATAAATTTGTTAATAAAGGTGATAAAGAATTTTAGGAGGATGCCTTGTGACTACTAAACAATATTTTTACTGTTTTCTAACCAATCAAATTAGCATTTCTGATGGACTCTTTTTTTTGTCGCGTTTATTGGTACGTTTTAGGTATACAGTACAATTACAGTCATTATTGGGATCTTGTACCTTTACATGACAGGTCTTGGTCCTCATTTTTTCCCCTTGTCCCTGCCCTCCTTTCACCCCCTCCTCCCCTCCCTATTTACAAATACTTTATTGATGTACTCTTTTCAATAGTGTTAAGATCAGTAGTTTTAGCATCTAACCAACTTCAGACAACTAACTGATCAGCTTTTACATAAAGATAACGCTATATAGCATGTTTATAGTTTGCATTGATGTTGGCATATTCCTATGCCAACTATGAATGGTGGAAATGAATCTCATATGGTCATTAACTTTTTAAAAAGGGAGTTGGATTCATTTCCACCATTCAGTTGTTGACCCTTTGTTATAGATATATAATATTTTATTCAACATACTGTATTTAACCACTTACCAGTCCAGTTATTTAAATACAGGATGACAAAAAAATTGCATATTTTTGTTAATTTTTGTAATACGTTATATCAGGAAATATAAAAATGACAATTTTCTCAAATTTATTCAATACAAGAACCTACTAGTTGAAATTACAGCTGTCTGAGCAATGCTTAGGATAGTCAGTATGTAAAGAAAGGTACTGCCCAAGTGATGCGTGGGTCAACTGTTAGGTGGTTAAAATCGGCTCCTTTGATTCTTAGGACATTCATCAAAGGTACTATGTTAAACTTCCTCTGAAAAAATTAATAAATTATAATTTTCTTGTCTTTGTAGGAGATTGATGGGAAAGCTCTGCTTCTACTTAAGAGTGATGTGATGATGAAGTATATGGGGCTGAAGCTGGGACCAGCAATAAAGCTATGTTACTACATTGAAAAGCTTAAAGAAGGAAAATATAATTGAAAAAATACCAGTTCAGATTGGACATAATTCTCAGGTAGACTGTTAACATTTTAATTTAAAAGAAGTTTTCTTAGCAGTTTTTGTTTCATAGAAGATTCCTATAAAACTGGTTTGTCAGAATTGCTGAATTACATTAACAGTCCAGTCTTACTTTTTTTTTTTTTGGTACCGGGGATTGAATTCGGGTCCTTGCACTTGCAAGGCAGGCCGCCGAACCGCTGAGCTAAATCCCTGGGCCATCAGTCTTACTTCTTGAAAGGCCATTTAACATGTTAGTATTAGCATACTCAAATTAGCAGTTCATTTGTATCTTATTATTTTCATTGTATATTTGACAAATATACTTCATGCAGTAAGCGGAAAAACTTTTGATTTGGATTAATCTTTATATTTAGAACCAAAACAGCTAAATCCCAAAGAGGAAAACATTGGAGATTTAACAACTTCTGTAATTCAATCCTTGAGAATTTTTCCTCAGAAGAAAATGTAAAGATGTACCTGTAGCTATCATCTCTTTCTCAAATACTTTCTCTCTGATTCTACAGTGTTCTGTTCATGTTTTAAGAATTTCTAGAAAAGAAATAGCCATATAAATTATTTTCCTCCCTGTTGTTAGTTCTTTAAATGTTGTATTTGTTCATATTTAAAGGGAAAAAGCAAGCTTATAAGCATTCATAAAAAGTGTTCTTACCCGTTTTTATAATTTTAAAAAATAGGATTGATAGAATGATCATTTTTGTGCAGGTCTTTATACTACCGGAGTGGTTTGGAGGGAGTAGGGTTAAGGTTTTTTTCACAAAATTTCAAAAAATTGCAAACCTATATTTTTGCTAAACTTGGACATTAGACATTTCACATATCTCTATATCTGTGTCCAAATTTTTAAGAGATATATATTTTATTGTATGTTTATTTCTCATATGGATACTTTACCATATTTATAAACTATTCTATACTTGTAGGTATACACAAGTAAATGTTGTCTTTTTGAATTTAATATGGCACTTTGCACTGCCACAGAGGAAAGAATGAGCAATGGATATAATTAGATGTTTTTATTCCACAAAAATCTGTGCATCATTTGCTATCACCAGTATCTCTCAGCTTGCTCTTCAGGTGATAAGAAACAATCAGTAGATTGGTTGCCATGCAGGGATGTTCTCTACCCTATGCAATGTTTCTTGCTAATTTGCTTGGTTCTGAGCCATTTATTCTGCTACATTTTAGGAGATACATCAGTTCTGACTTACTATTTTGGTCTTTGAAAGTTAGAACTTTGAAGGGTAAATGGTGCCATATGTTTATTGTTACTACTTGGTATAATATTAATAAGCTATGAAAATCGGTTATAAAGGTATTAGCCATTGGTTTTAAATGCCAAGAAAATGTTCACCCGAGAAAGAATGTACTTTTTTTTTCTAGAAAACCAAGTGTTCTTTAGATAATAATGCCATTATTTGAAGGATCACTTCCTCTGTTATTCCTTATGTTATGAGACTAGATTCTTAAACTTGATCTTCTTTCAAATTGTTTGTATGAAGATACTGTTCCCATTTAAACAGTTCTCAGGTGTTTATATAAATGCTGTGTTTTACAGTTTTCATATTTTAAAATATAATAAAGTTAAATAACTGCAACAATGCCCAAAGCCTCGGGTTTGATTTTACTTACTTTCACTGCATTCCATTAATGTGTGAATTTGTTAAGAAAAAAAGAGCCCCTGTGACAATGGTGTTATTAGGAGGGAAAATACTGCTTTTTCAAGCAGTGGAATGGATTATACTTGGAGTTGCCTGAGTAAATGAAAATAGGTTTAAATTTCTGAGGCTCTTTCTAGGACAAATGCTGGAAGATGACTCCTGATTCAGAAAATGAGGGAGGCTGTAGGGTAGATAAGACGTACGGGAAGGGCTCATCTTTAAGAATTCATGGCAGTATTCTTTTCACTTTCCTGTTGTTCATAATTTCAGTAAGTTAAGGATAAACATTTGGATACCTTCCTAGAGATTCCTTATTATTAATAGTTAAGGTGTTCACAGAAAAACAATTATTCTTCCTGATGTGGTTAAAAAAGAAACCACTTCATACCCATTAGGGTGGCTACTTAAAGAACAAAAGGGAAAATAGGTACTGATGAGGCTATGGAGAAAATGGAACATTTGCACATTGCTGGTAGCAATGTAAAATAGTGTAGCTGTTGTGGAAAACAGTATGTGATATGCCAAATTCCATTTCTGGGTATATAATATGTATTTAAATAGAAAAATTATAGGAAGACACACATTACCATTAATACCCCTCAAAATTCTCTTCTTGCTTCAAATGCAATTATCCAGTCATGCCACTTTTTAAAGCAGTTCTGGAAGTCTTTTGTGAGTGTGTGGCTGTGCTCTTGTGGCTGTCTTGATGTCCTAATCAATTCAAAATGTTTACTTTTCATGGTCATTTTGACTTGGGAAGAGCCAGAAGTTGCATGATGCCAGATCCAGTGAATAAGGTAAGTGACACACTGTAATGTTTTTATGAGCCTCCCTTTCCAATGGGTGGCACTTGGCTGCAGCATTCATCATGTTTTTTAAATCATATATGATACAGACACTCATGAATGAGGACTTCCAAAACTGCTTCAGAAAGTGGCAAGGATGACTGGATATGTTTAAAGCAAGGGGATATTTTTAGCGCGTTAATAGTGATGTATCTTCTATAGTAATAAATTTTAAAAATTTAAACTGCCATAGTTTTCAGTCACCCCTCATATCCCCAAAAGGAATTTTTTTGGTGGGTGCCTGGGGATCGGGACCTTGCAATTGTGAGGCAGGAAGTCTAAATCCCCAGCCCCTCCCCAAAAGGAATTTAAAAGGAGAGACTCAAGTACTTGCATTGTTGAGTACAACATTATCCATATCAGTCAAAAGATAAGTCATGTCCATCATCAGATGAATGGATAAAATGTACTATATACATAAAGTGAAATATCAGTCTTTAAAAGGAGTGAAATTGATATATATAGCAACATGAATAAAATAAGCCAGACACAAATATGAATTCATTCACATGTGGTATTTAGTCAAATTCATAGACAGGAAATAGGGTTATCAGGGGTTTATGGTGAGAATTGAGGAGTGGGTCTTTGATGGATAGCAATCTTAGTAAGCATACATCACAATCCTAAGAGCAAATAAAATAGTCCATAAATACCTCCTATGAGCCTGTCAGTTTCTTTGTTACAGTCCTTCATTCCCATTGCATTTCCATACCTAGATCCCCCATCCTTTCCTGCTTTTGTCTTCTCCATCAAGGAACCCTGGTTTGGCCAGTAGGTTGAAAGTGGACCTGGAGAGCACCACATCCAAGCATCTTTGTTTTTGTTTTTCCCCTGGTACCAGGGATTGAACTCTAGTCCTTGCACTTGTGAGGCAGGTAGTGGAGCCACTGGGCTAAATTCCCAGCCCTACAAGCAGCTTTATGATGGCAATGAATAAATCTCATTCATTTTCTTCTACCATGAGAGTGGTATGTTGACTAGATAATAGTAGTTCCTCAGACCACAGTTCAGAGGCAGAAGGGATGCGGGACTGGACCAAAGCCATGCTCTTCATATCACATGAGCAAGAAGTAAATGTGGCTGTAAGTCACTGGGATTTAAGGACTTACAGCTCACAGATATGATGCAATATAACATACTGTTCTTGACATCACCTGCTTATTTGTATATCGGATGTCTTCCCCAACTAGAGTGAACATTTCATGGGGGCAAATAGTTTGTTCACGTAATTCTTACTCTCCAATATCCAGATTGGCACTTGGAATGACTCAGTTATTTAGTAAAGTGTGTCAGAATCCCAGGAATCAAATTTTGGTTGATAAAGTTACCAAACACATACTAAGCCTTTCTGAACTTATGAAACCTAATGACATAAATTGCTACTTGGCCTTTAGATTATTTTCTGATTGGTTTTACTTACTGTTTTACATATGTACTGCCAGTCACTGAAACTGCAGAAAGAATGAGTGAGTTATTGGAGATGAAAGTGGCTCTGAAGAGAATTAACTAGTTCCCAGTCATCTGATCTAACATGATGTCCTGCTATCAGCCCCTGAATCTCTCACTCTTGCCTTCTCACTAAATACCTGGAAGAAAATGAAAATGCATGATACCCCTGAAAACTAAGGCAGGCAGGCTGTTGCTAGTCTGGGAAATAATTCCTAGTAACTCAAAAGGTCATCAATGATAGACTGATGCCTACGTCATCTATTCTAAGTATCCTCTCCCCTCACAAATGAACACGTCTGGTTTCTGGATATTTTGCTTTGCAGTCAATGGCATCTTCAGATTCCATGAAGAACTCAATGGGTAGGTCATGCTTCATGCTTCACCTTATGCTTTTCCTTCAGGTTATGTCAATTCCAAAAAACCCAGCAAGCCCTAGACAAAGAGAGAAGACTGAAGCAGTTCTTAGTAGTGGAAGCAGGGGACTGTGCATCTAGACCCCACAGATGAAACCCTGTTAGTGATAGCCAAAGCAAGAGGAGCCCTAGGGCCCGGCATTTTGCTCAGTGGTTCCTCCACCTGCCTTGCAAGCGCAAGGTCCTGATTTAAAAATTTCAATGTGTCTTTTAAGAAAGCCCTCATGAAAGGCTGTGCTGCTGCTGCTGCTGCTCTGTGTGTGTGTGTGTGTGTGTGTGTGTGTTAACTATAAAAAAAAACTAGAAAGGGGGCCAGGGATTTAGCTCAGTAGTTCCACCACCTGCCTTGCAAGCACAAGGACCATAGTTTGATTCCCAGTACCAAAAAAAAAAAAAAAGAAAGAAAAGAAAATGTTTTCATAAAGGTACTAAGTACAGACAGGCAACTCAGGATATAAAAGGAAACAACTGGGCCTAGTGGCATATGCCCATAATTTCAGCGCTCTGGGAGGCTGAAGCAGGATGATTCGAAGTTCATGCCCAGCCTGTACAATTTAGCAACTTTAGCCACCCTGTCTCAAAAGGGGAGGGGCCTAGAGATGTAACTCAGTGCAAATGTTCTGGGTTCACTTCCCATTACTATTAAAAAGGTAAACAGGTAAGATTCTTTACCCCAGGAAGTTTACAGACTGGGGAAACAGCATTAAAAACAAATACCTGGATAATTTAGAAGTGTACAAAATGTGGCAAGGGTGAAGTGCCCGCAAGAGATACACCAGGGGATCTTTATGAGGTGGTGAAATTATGAACAGTTTGCCTGAGAAAGTGTTTCCACCAAAACCTGAAGGATGACGGGAGCAGGGGTGACAGGAAATGTGTTTAAGGCCAACCCACTGAGCAAGAGTGAGTTATCAATACCCACCTATATTGCCTGTAGTAAGTCTGTGAAATATTTTTAGAAAATCATATATACATCTGATGATCGTTTTATTGAAAACCTTTCATCTCTTGTCTCTGTGGTAAGCTTGTTGTGTCTACATCATTTACTGAATATCTTCCCAAGTGGTAAAAAAGAAAAAAAAAACTTTAAGGAAA